GGGCTACAGGTCTTGTGTTATAGCAGCTGGCTGACAACTCTGGAATGCTGCGTGTCAGCAGCAAGAGAAAAATAGAGTGACTGACGTGGAGTGACAAAAAGAAAGAGACTGACAGAGAATGATGAGTATGGCTCGAAGTAACAATTAATTTCACTATCAGTTAATTTGCTGATTATTTTCTTGATTAATTAGTTAATTAATTTGTCAGTAAAATGTCAGAATAGTGTATAATGCCCGTTATCATTTCTCTGAGCTGAAAGTAACATTTAAAATGATTGTATAGTCTTACCAATAGTTGCAAAAACAAAGACATTCCCTTTACCGTAATATGACTCAATGATTGATTATCAAAATTCAGCTAATCGGTTAATGAACTAATCATCTAATAATGCAGGGATAAACTGGATGAATAACTGGTTAAAATGAGAAGGTGAGGATGATTACTGTTGAAATCTTTTGATACGTGTCAATAAGACAGCTGGGTTGGTAGTAATACAGAAATGATACGCACGTTTTTCCACAAAACAAAAGAAGCCAACGTTCTTAAGTTCTAACAAGCAGCTTTACAAGCACGTGCCCTAAATAAAGTAGTCTAAAACTGGCAAAATTATGATTTAAATGAGTCAATATCTGAGCAAAGAATAAATAAACTAATTTGTAAAGGCCCTAATGGAAGAGTGCTACTATACCGTCGGTATACCATGCTGATGCAAACCTTGAGTCTAGAATATCTCAGATTGACCTTGTCATGAAAATCATAAACCAAAATGGACTAGGGTAAGAGCTTCTTTCAGCTTCTTCCTCTCCTCTCTCCGCTCCCTGTGTGGCACTGATGTCTCTTTCCTCCCCTCTATTTTCCACTCTCTATCCTTCTCAATCCCAGCTTTGATGTATGCATGAAGGAGGATTTCCTGAAGACCAAAGAGGCCATTACCCAGGGGCCATTAGGCCTCTAGTAGAGCATGTCAATGAGTGCTGAGTCTTGCTCTGTTTTCACATGCAGCCACTTGTGTATGTGGGTGAGCTAGGCGGGGGATTCCCTGGAGGTGATAAAATGTTGCCTTAAATGTATATATCTCTCTCCTAAATGTCTGTATTTTTAACAGAATAGCACTGTTTGTGTGCCCCACTGTAACACTTGATATAGTGGTTGTTTTCGTACTGTTGCACGTGAGGAGGTTGGGTCATTAATCGGCGCTGTTGTTCTTTCATGCAGACTAAGAGCGAGCGGAGTGAGTCATCATCATCAGGATGAAACGCTCTGACATTTGAGCATGAAAGTCCCAGAGAGCCTTGCGGCCCAACATCGCTGGGTATGTTTGTATTTTACAGTAAAGGAGGTACATAGAGCACTGTGGTCTGAAGGAGATATTTTGTGTTGATAGTAGAAAAAGCGTTAAGGTCATGTAGGTAATAGACACATTACAGAGCTGTGCAAATAACGAGGGATGTGGGGTTTACAAATATTTATGTAAACAAGACGGTCTTTGTGTTATTTAGATGGGATCTTTCTGTTCTGGTGAGTGGATGAAACTAAAATGGGATGATAAGCTACGAGGTGAGCAGGGAGTAAGCTGAAAAGGACACAGAGGGAAGATAACCTTGATTGCTGGAATCACTCTGCCGATCTCTTCTGTATATCCTTCTAGAGGACAAAGGCACACCGAGTCTTCTCTCCTGTGGTTAAAAAAAAAAATGCCCTCAAAGAAAGTGTGTGGTAAATGAGTGACAGTATATCATGCTCCTGTTTTTACAGAGAGCACTTGAGAGAATCATTGAAGTTTGCCGAGAGTGTCGGGAGTCTCTCTCAAGGGCAGCTGGCTCTATCATCTGCGGTGAATGCGACGTGTAGTCCCTCTCTAATCAGAAATATAAAATCTTAGCATTCAGCATGCTGACTAGACTAGGTTTTACAGAATGTGAAGCCTCACTTTTCTGTCCAGCGCAGCAGAACATCAGCATACAGGCCGCAGAAAGAGACAGAGGAGGAGGTGAAGGAGGGAGAGAAAGATGGATAAGGTGGAGGAAAAGGAAGATAAGCAGCCAGTGTGTGTGTGTGTCTAGATGTGTGGGGTGTGCTTTTACTGGTGACTTCCCCGAGGCCTGGAGACAGGAGAAACAAGGAGTGATTAATTCTACTCCAACCTACTTGGCCTCCGTCTGGGGGAGCAGTCCCCAGAAAGGAGGCTGTCGCCTTCCGCTCTACTCGCTGGATCAATAACAGATTGGCAGGTCAGTCTCTTCAGGAGAGACTGTACAGCCAATGAGAGAGACCCTGAGCAGCAGCAAACCCGCCTCTTGTCTGCCTTTGTCACCGTTTGGAGGATCAGCAGAGCTTGAGGTCATTGATCTGTGTGTTTTTACTGAGCGGATCCCTTAGCTGGATTGATCGATCTGCTCTAATAAAGAGTGGATTCTCTATAAGCATCGTAGTGTGTTCAATGAGATCCAAGGCCCCAGGGTGGCAATCACCTCTTTTATCTGCCACTCTTCTGCCCACCACCACCACACACACACACACACACACACACACACATATATACAGGCAGATTAAATTTAATTTGCATTTAAGGTTCTGGTGTGACGAAGTCGAGTGTGACAAGGCCATACATCAGAAATTATTGCTTAAATTAGTTACCGATCGTCTCTATGTCCCAGCAACTGCTGAACACCCAGAGGCATTCTGTTCATCCAGAGAGACATCCCTACCCCCTGATGTTTTGTTTGCACAAAGAAAAGCCTTCTCTACTCTGTACAGCTCTCTCTGTTAGAGAAAACCACATATTAGTGCATTAATTCAAAATTAGATGTGCATTAGTTTTTCTTTCTGTTGGCCCCATTTAGATAAGTTTGCCTAATGTATGTTAGAATGGAAGGAGAAGAGAAGGGGTGGCTGTGAGTCAGCAGAAATGTTTAGTGTGAGTCAGCCAGCTCACATCGCTCCAGCAGTATCTGTTTGTTGTTATCATTAATGTCATCATGGGATGTATGGTACAGTAAATTAATGTGCAAGAGTAGCCATCAATTAAGATTATTTTTCTCTGCACAGGGAATAATAATAAATCAAAACACGTCTGTCTCCTGCTTCTCTGCCACAGATTTGTTTGGAGAGGTGGATGAGACGGAGTCGCTTGCTCAATACGTCTCAAAAATTAGTAGCTCTTTTTTTTTTTTTTTTTTTTTGTATTTCCTGAGGAACGAGCCTAGACATTTTTCCTGACTGAATGATCCGTGACGTCTGTGTACATAAGCAGAGGTACTGCTGCTGTAGCTCTTCATCCCTGCCATCAGGTGGGTTTTTCCTCCCCTGCTGAGGTCTATGCCCTGCAGTGTGTCCTTTTTACCAAAACAGCCCCCGTCTTCCCCGCCAGTGAGGAGACAGAAATGCTGTGCAGCAACCCTGCTGACTGCTGTGTGGCTTTCTGTAGCAGAGCACCTGCGTGTCCCCTGCTGACTGACTGAGCCAAGGACAACACAGCCACAAGACCGGCTGTCTCTCCCCACGCCTACCTAGCAAATGGGCTGAGAGATGTTAGACTCGCCCAGGAGCAGCCGAAGGGACCAAGCGTCGTGAACCCGGGCTTTTCCCCTGTTCTGTGTTTGTAAAGGACTGTGTTGCCTGTTTGTAATATTGAGGACGGAGACACACCTGGAACAAATTATGTAAAAGGCTATAAATCTTTATTGTGTGTTCTCTATTGCATGCACAAACCTAAAAAATGTGTTTTGCTTAGGTGCAAATGTGTCACACCTCCTGTGCCCTCCAGCTGAAACGGGAAGATCAGAGAACAAACAGCAGTGCACGAAAAGGTAATAAGACAGGTACACACACACACACACACATACACACACAGCTGATGGAGAGAGATACTTTCTGGGGGTTTAACTTCATGCTGAATTAGATTTACTCTGAGGTTTCAGTGCATCTTTCCTTCTTGTTTACCATTAAAATGAGCAGTATCTGACATACTATGTCCAGAGGAAACCTGGTCCCCTGAAATCTACCTTATTAGCAAGCTAATGATTATTTAGAGGCTTCCAGTTATGAGAAACAAGGAGACATGCCCTGCCTCCCATGTAAAGTTAAATTTCAAACACTTGTAAGCCCCCCTCACCTAAATAGCTGGAGACAGCATGAAACAATAGCTAGGTATCTCCAAAATGAGCTTATTAATTCTCCTTGCATTCATTTAAATTTTCATCCACTGGACCAGATGCGCTAATAAGTAGTAGAACAAATGTAGTTGGAGAGCAGCCCCAAGGTGATTGCTGAATGTTTACACTCCAGTTAATACACCCCCCAACCCCCACCCCCACCCCCCCACAGCCCGGAGTCATGCCTCTAATTACCAAAATAAAGCCTTGATTTCTGCTCATACTCCCGAGTTTGGGGAGGACACAGTGCATGGAGAGTGGATATGAGGAGAAAGAGGAGGTGGCCTGATGCGCGTCCCCGTCTGTCGCACAGGAATAGGCTGTTTGAATGGAGGAAGGACCGCTTGTGCCAACAGCTGAGTCAAATGCCACAGATAGACTGAATGAATACAGGAAGTCCAGCGAATGAACCTTCAAAATAAAATGATTCATATAACAAAATAAAAACGCTCGACCTTAATGCTCGAATGTTGTGCCAAAATATACCTATTTTCCAACAGCAGGCATTTTTTTTCAAGTTGCCCTGGTGTTATGTGTGTACGTATAACAAGTGCACTACCTCGGGCCAGTTAAGGCTGTTGTCATGTTGGAGCACTGCTCTCACGTGAAGGCATTTTACTAAGAGTACTAGTGATTTCGAACAAATTTCTGCCTGGTACTCTCCTGTCACATCAGTGCTATGTATTGCCCTAAAAACGATAAATGGTTTTATTTTGAAAGTCTGGGTGGGAACACTCTATTATTGTCGTGGTGAGCTTTACTCTGTATGGTTGTTACATTGGAGAGAGTGGGAGAGAAAAGGAGCAAATGTGCGCGGCGGCGGAGAGGGAGGGAGGACAGCGAGTGCGCAAATAGGCAGCCAGGCACATCAGCAGCAGCGGCAGAGCATCTTCCTGATCCTGATCTCCCGTGTCTTCAGCTTCCAGTCCTCTGTGTGCGTCTCTGATTGAGATTTCACTGCCCGACTGAAGTGTCCAGAAGCCTCCGCCAACCATCACCTCCCACCACACACTTTCTCTGGAGCTCGGTTATTCTTAGCTCAGCTGCGAGAGACTGTCCTTCCGGTCCTTCTCTTATTTATCCCAGTTTCTTGAATATTTAATGGAAAATGGCGATCTGCGCGCAGTCGTACGGTATTTTCTGCCTCTTCACAATTCAAACTGTACTTATCATATGCGTCTCCACGCCGACAGACGGGACCCATCTCTTCCCCCAGAACTACACGTAAGTACCCTGCACTGTTTTGGGGGGATAAAGCGGGGTGCGGAGCGCGGAACTAGGACAGGTGGCCCCGACAAGCCTGCACATGCAGCGCCGTTTACCTTGGTGCGAGGGGAGCTGCTGTCCCTGATGTTCAAACACAGACGCAGCTTCCGTCTCTGGCGCTGCGTTATGAATCTCGCTCTCACAGAGCCCATGTTGTTGTTTCTGTTGTTGTGGGCAGTGGCATTTAATACCCACAGCCTTGTTCAATTTGTCATCGTCAACATGGAAACAGGCTACAGGGAGCACGCACAGGTGCCACAGGCGAATAACCCAACCGAGCAATAATTTATTAGAACATCCACGGGGATGAAAATGAAATAATAATAGTCGGTGTGTTGTTTTGCTGTCACGGCATGGGGGGAGAATAGCCTATCCCATTTACGCATGATGGATAGGCTGAGCTATAACGAGGCTAGTCTTAAAAGTCCTTCAGTGGATAGTGCACACGCACCGTGGAGATAATCATGTGTGTCCCACAGCAGGACACACTGGTGTTTGTAACCGGATGACTTTGATTTAGAGAACAAAACAATTAGTTAATCCCACAGTAGCGCCAGTTCTTTAAACCTCGAAGCCCCTGCACCTCAGCTCGATTCTCACCCAAACTACAAAACTACTCGCCCAGACTCTTTTCAGTAACAAACGCAGCAACATGGCTTCCAGATAAGACTCCTGCTCATTGTTGCAGTAAGCAAAAACAACAAGTTTTTGTCTGTTTGAAATGTAGACGCACTTGAGGCCGGTGCCACAGTGACCCGCAGGCACAGACAGAAGCTGAGCATCCAGCTGTGTGTAGACCAACAAAACTATTGTTGGACTTTTCTCAGCGTACACCTGTTGGGAAATGGTTTTGCAATAATATTTGAGTTTAAATCATCATTTTTTCTCTTAATGTGAACGGTGTAACGGTTTCACCTTGAATGACACACACAGGAGGCTGAAACATAATGTCTGCAGCAACAATTCACCACCTGTGCGTCGTCGAACGGTTCAACACAAGACTGACAACAGTTAACCAAAAATGACCCTTTTCTTTTTAAGTGAACGTTGCTTCATTTAAAATCCCAGTTCAGATTTTATAGTTTAGTAACAAAACTCTCCTGTAACCAGAGTGCAACAGTTCCTCAACCAAGTCTGTGAAGCAGCCCATGCTTCAAATGTTAACGTCGCCCTGTTCATGATGATCATGTCGTGATGATCTGATGTGAACACTAAGTGTAGCCCGTAGTGATGATTAGTCAGTCAGGTTCACCAGAAGTGACAAGAATCTCAATGATTCCTCTCTGATGCATCCGCTGGATAATCTCTGTGAAATCTTTGGAGCTTTATTATTCCGGATGGCCAAGGTGACTTTCAAATGAAAATCAGTTATCCTTTTTATTACTGCTACTGACTTAAACCCACAATTAGCTGCCTCACTGATTTGATTGAGCACCATAAAGAGAGGGCCCGTAGATCATTTCTCTTACATTTGAATTACTTTGTGCAAACAAATTCACATGGATGCTTAAATTATATGTACTGCGTTTGAATATCTGTTGTATAATCAGAAATGCTATATTTATAAATCTGATAGCAATATCCTCTTTACTTTTCCCTCCAAATACGCTTTGTTTTTTCAAAAGTACATAGGTTATTCTAGCTCTACTAGATTACAGTCACCACAGTAGTGACACAATGTTAATCTCATGACTTGTCATTATTATCAGTGTTCTTGTGAGAGCAGATAAAAATAAGATAAAGTCCAGGTCTTGTCATATATTTTGTGAGTATTATATCTGGTCCTCTCTTGGGTTTTAAAAACTGGGTTTTGTGTCACCCACATCTCTGTGCTATTTGCTAGAATTCGACTGTTCATTTAAGTGCATGGGGAGCTGCTGTGGCTGTCACACACACACACACACACACACACACACACACACACACACACACACACACACACACACCCACACATACACACACACACAGTGCTTGTGTATGCTGACGGTCTAAGTGCCTATAGCCGAGGAAGTGTGTCCGTAAGAAAGGGCAGAGTGTCCTCTAGTCCATTTTTACAGCAGTGCCACGAAAGTGTACCTTTCCTACACCTCACCATCTGGCAGCCTGGTCAGATTTCTATGTAGTTAGTGTATCCGTGTTGTTCATGAATTGTGTGTGTGTGTGTGTGTGTGTGTGTGTGCTTGCGGGTACAGGAAGATGGAAATTATTTCCACATTACTAAATTATGTGGAGAAAACCTGTTCCGATAACTGGAATTTAAATGAACGGATGTACAATCTTCTCTAGGAAGGTAAAACATCATTACTTACCTCAGTTGATATCGAGCTATAGCCCCCAAATTTATTTTATCACACATATGAAAATAGCCCACCCTTTGCCCTTAAAGATATTTCAGTGCTGTTCTTGGAATGACGAGATCCACAGCAGCAGCATGAACACGATGACGGTGTGCGGCCGATACACAGGTCGTCCATCCAAACTCATTTCATCACATTTTCTACTTTTCACATAATGTTTGGCCGACATAAATCATAATGCAGGAAAAACACCAAAAACACAAGAGACAAATGGCAAAGTTGTGATACTACATCAAACTACAAAGAGTCGGAGAGCATCAGCCGGCTTTCATGTAGTGGACAATAACAACTTCTCTGTCTTGAAGAGAGATCACAGCTTTCACAACACAGAAGGTTTCAGAGCAGTCATTGAACATTAGGCCTCAGGAGTGCATGTAATTTCCCAAACCAGCGTCTCCTGAGTTCTTCGAAATGTTTTTCTCCTTTGATTTCCAATCAGTCCAACATGGATCTTAAGTCATTTTACAAGAGGGCAGTGTTGCCCTCGTGTTGCTTCACGTGATCTGGCCTGATGCAGTCAGTTGTGTTAAAGCTGCAAGGTTAACCATTTGCTGCCTGTCAATAAGTATTTATTGTTACGTTACTTAATTGGAAAATGAAAAAACCAGGAAGGGGGAGTGGCAAGGCTGCACATCGGCGCACATCTGTGTCTGGAGATTTGGGATGTGGATGTAATACTTTTATCATATGTCATCTTTTATTGATTTCACTCATTGACAGTCCACATTTTAGAATATTTCAGTGTTGTATTTGAAATGACGACATCCATTGCAGCACAATGAACATAGTGACAGCGTGTGGCAGACACACAGGTCATGCTAACTAATTTCCTCCAAGCTCATTTAATTTTCTTAATTATATTTGACTGGGTTATAGGGTTACATGAACAAAATGAATATTTCAGTAACTATCGAGTCTAATTATCTTGATAATATCTTTTGATATTTACTCAAATATTCAAAATCTCACAGTGAAAAGTTGAACTCATTTTCATCCTACGCTGTCGAATAAGTTTTTGTAGCTCTGTCAAGTTGTTATCAGTCTTCAGCACATGAGATCTGTGACCCAAATTATCTCCATATGAGAATATCATACAGATTATACAGAGAGGAGATAAACAATCACATTAAATTGTTGCCCAGCCTTAGATCAAGCTTAGAGAAATGAACGAGGAATATATTTACTACCTGCTTGGTCATAACTGGTGTTTTTTTTTTTCTTGTTCACACCTAGTATATATTAAATATTCCATGAAACACCAATACCCAAATTATCATTATGAATTTCAAATCAAAATTTTTTCTTAAGATTGGCTGGGTCAATATTGTGTGTATTTACATAGACTTACAATATAAGACCTGCACTCCTTCCTGCATGTCAGTCTGTCAAGGCTGTATATATGTATATGTATGTGTGGGTGTGCGTAGCATGTAGACTAATGAAGTTGCGTAAGAAGTCTGCCTGGCTCGGGGACAGAGGTAGTGTCCCTCACTGTTAGTATCACTGTGTCCTGCTCGGCTCTGCTCTCACTGTAAGCTTGTTTTTATTTCATATCGAGGTGACCTTTTCATAGTCGGCGGCCTCTCCCCAGCGGTCCCACACTGCACAGTCCTCTTGGAGGCCCTCTTGCTTTCTCTTCATCTTGCTCCTGTGAATGCAGCCAGTGCGCACAATCGCTGGCGTGTTTGCTCTGCTGTTACTCTCCCGACGAGGCCCCTCTCTCCGGCTTGGTGATTATGGCGAGCGCTGTCACAGCTTGGCAGATTTGTACAATTTAATAAATCTGTCTTCCCTCTTGTCTTCTGAGCAAATCTGACATTTAAAGATGACATTTGTCTCCGTCTTCATATTAAAAGACAAACGACTCTGTTGTGTTGTGCTGTTGATGCTAGTGATTAGCTATCTGCAGGCTGCTGAAAGGAAAAGGTTGGCGCGGAGTCAGTGGTTGGCCCGCAAACACATGACAGAATTTATTCATCTGATTGCTGAAAGATGAGTTTTTCTTTTTTGTTTGTTTTTTTCTTTTTTTTTTTTTTTTTAGGAGTGAGACTTTCTCTCGTTGGCCATGATTGTTCAGCGTGTACCCAGGTTGGCAGGTTGGCCTCTGCTGCTGCTTTAAAATGATCTAGTGAAAATCTTGATCCATTAAGTCATTTGTTGCTTGCTGCGAGATATACAGTGATGAGCTCTCGCCGTTTGATCTCTTAATTCCAAACTTGGCTCCGTCTAACGGAGATCAGCTCCTGCTTAGGGTGCACTTCTGTCAGACCTGAGCAGTTTTATTGCAGAGCCGCTGATCCCAGCCGAACCAAGACAGGCACGTTCGCTGCCAGTCCGACCAGATATACGCAAGGTGTGATGGGGGGGAGAAGGTGCTGATGACTGGCCCAGACATTAGGAGAGATAGAAGATAGGAGAGAGCCAGATAAGGATCCAGAGAGAGGGAGAGTTTGGGAGTTTGCCAACACAGACGGAGACACACAAAGATGGGGAGACACTCACTTTGTCTGTCACAGTCGTACAAACACAAACACACATGCCCTGACAGAGAAATGAACGCTCATGTGATGTCATGTTCAGGTGGTAATGTGGAGGGATGCAGATTGAAAATGTCTAATTTTATTTTTCCAGAATGATTCACTGGGCTGGACGCATCGAGAAAGAGCTGGAAAAGGTTCTGCAACACATCACCGGAACTCAGCAGATGAGATCGGTAAGTTGACGTCACGCCTGAATGTGACGCGCTGCATTTTCCTGTGTTATTAATCAGTAAGAATTTACTGGTCCTTGTTTGTGTGTGTGTGTGTGTGTGTGTGTGTGTGTGTGTGTGTGTGAGGAACTATGTTTGTATGAGCACTGCAAAAAATGTTGTTCGAAGACATTCAGTTTTAGCGTTAAAACTTTACTCTTGAGATCATTTCACCATGACTGACTGTTTCGAGTGTAAATCAGCTTTTTTCAACAAATTTTCTTGACCCAAAAAAAATGCTCCTCATACTTCTGAATTTCCAGATACTTCTCAATTGAACTTCTTTAATCCCAAATTCGATGAAACAGTGGTTTTGAAGTGAAGATGTAATTAGTGGAATGATTTTAACAAATTGGCAAATTTTAACAGCTTGTTAAGATGGACGCATTTTGCAGAATATGTGTGTCGGTTATTTGTATCTGCGTCCTCGTATGAGGCTGTGTGTAACACGTGTCTGTCTTGTGGTAGAGCAGATGGTTGAGCAGAGTGTGATTGACACTGTTTCATCATATTTCTGCCGTGTGCGCATGTTCACCGAGCTTCCAGGGTTTGTAATGCACCCTGAGATAAATGCTTCATTATTGCTGTATGGGTGAGTGTGATTCATCCAGCCGGTACGATGCCTGTGGCAGCTTTAATGCTAGCAGCAGCAGTGGTTAGTGTGATGGCTGTTAGTATGGTGGCAACATTGATGGTTCCCAGAGAGGAGGAAGTGAGATGACAGGGATCGTGCTGGTGTAAAGGTTAACGACCATTAGTGTATGTCAGGCAGACACTCAGACTGTGTGACGGAGATAGGTTGATTTTTAGAGCTCATGCAGTCTAAACAAAACATAACAGAATGTTTACCCATCAAAATATCTGCCTTTTGCAGTTTGTGCAAATATTTTTTTCAGTGTTCCCGCTGAGCAATGTGCATTTGTAAACGGCAGTAGACTTCTGAATTAATGTTACACATGGTTTCAAGGGGAAATCATATTGTTACTGTCTGATAAAAATTCTGTATCTCCAAGATGTCGTCATTTCACAAACTATAAAAAAAAGATAGTCGATTTAAGTTGTGTATGTGCATTTTTCAGAAAACCAAATGGGTTTCTGAAAGGGTTTTGAGAACCATAAAGAAACAAACCATCCTTCAGCGTATCTAATAAAATCACTAAACTCAAAGAGATGTTATTTACACAAGTCACCACTTGTCACCTGTTTGCTACGTTTTCAACTGCTTTTTACTGGATGTATGATACAACTTGTTGTACACGCAAGCAAGAATTGTTTTCCATTTTTCCATTTTCATACACCTGCTGGTTATTTTATTGATAAATGGATAAAGAGCTTGTTCTGTAAAACGTATCAGAAAATTGGGGACAATGTCCATCACAATTCCTTAAAGCACAAAGTGATGCCATCAAATTTCTTGTTTTGTCAGACGGACAGTCTGAAAAATAAAGCTATTGAGATAACATGTAATAATAAGAAAAGCAGCAAACTCTCCCAATTAAGCAGCTAGAACTAGGAAATGTTTGATATTTTTTAGCTTGGAAAAGAGGCTGCTGATTAATGTTCTGTCAACTGCCTAATCGATTATTAGAGTAATTGTTATTATTCAGAGGAACTTAGTCTGTGTTTGGTTTAACTATGTTGTGGCGTCTCAGGACTGCTTGTTATAAAACTACATAGATGAATGATCCTGAGCTCAATGAGACCTAAAGCTAAGATGTGACACTGACATGACGTTAAGTGCTCAGTGGGCTTTAACGTTCTGTGGATTTAATCTAATTTACACTGGAAGTTGCTGAGGTTTCCTCTGTGGGCTCTCTCTCTAAAAAAATATTACGTCCATCCCAGTGACGCCTTGTGTAAGGTGCCCATATGGTTGCATGTGGATGTGCTGGCCTGACTGTGTGTGCAGAGCGGGTGTGAAAGAACATTTATCATGGCCCCAAACAGGAGTCGTCACAGGGTGTGCTAAATGGCCCAGCATGCCTAGAAAAGCCATTTTCTAAATGGATGCCTCTCTCTATACGTGTGTCTGATAGAAATCTTCCCAGGGCTATGCCGGCTGGTAACAAGATTGCCTCCCTCTGCGCCCCCTTCCTCTTCATGCGCAGTTTATTCTCACAGACAAAAAAAAAAAAAAAGTAAAGTGTGTGCAAATTATTTTTGAGTTTGTCTTACATGGAAAGAGACAAGGATGTACGTTGAATATAATGTGGTGTGTTCAGTTCCCCTCAGTTGAGATTTTATTTTTTCTGACAGGCGAAGTAGCGAGTGAAAGAAAGACAAAGGCCAAGACAGGGCAGCACAGAAAATAGCTGAATACATTTCGAGTCAGTTGGCTTAAAAAACAACACAGAGATGTACAATATTTTGATGTGTTTTAGTTTGTGCATACTGTGTGCAAGTTTTAAAATGTCAAAATAAATAAAACCAGTTATTCAACTGCTTAAAATCACATTCTAATATATTCTGCCCAGGTTTGGTCAAGATGTTATTCTTCCTTCGGGGAGCGAAAGGAAGATAGAGGGTGAGTGATGTATCGGAGGAGTTGGAAGTTTCGAATGGAAGAGTGTGGAGCGCGGATAGACAAGGAGAGTGGGCGACTTGTAGAGCGGAGGAGGAGGAGGAGGAGGGTTTTTTAGAGGGAGAGAAAAGATGAAGAATGGCTTGACAATTGAGATGGATGTTCAGGCGGTTTTGTGTGTATATTTAGAGTCAAACTACTTAAGATGGATGAAATGATAGAGGGGAAGGACGAGAGTTGGTAAATTAAAATGTGAGCAGACGGATGCTGTTTATAGTCCTTATCCTCTTCATTATCCTGTGTGCTGCTGTGTTTGATGTGTTACAGTATGTGGTGATGAGAGGCGGCGGTGGACACTGGCATTGTTTCCGTATCCTCGGGCTTATTCAGAGCAGTTTTAACAGGCGCACATGAGCAGTGCGCCTACACCCACACACTGTCATTACAGTGATTTGATGGTTTATCAGCGATACAGACAGATAATATTATTATGTACATATTTAGACACCAGGTGGACACACATTTACAATGTACTTACTGTAGCTGCAGAAACTACGCACATGCAGAGAGATGCTCTTGTTCTAGTGGTGGCAAGAATTTACAAAAGTACAAGTACTCATCCTGCAACAGATTCTCCTCTATGACTGAGATGTTATTATATATATATATATATATATATTATTATATTGTTCATACGTACACATGAATCTTTAAATAGCATTTTGCTACTGAAGCTGGTGAACGTGTAGCTAGTTGTAACTACATAACTACTTACCCACATACAGTTTAGTCCAGCGGCTCACAACCTACCAGTGGGTCACAATATAACTCTGATGAGTCGTAGGAAAGAAAAAAATAAATAAAAAATCCAAACTTCTGCTACACAAATTCTATTTAAGTTTTTGGACTTGTCTTTAATTTTTGTTTGTGAAATATCAGATACCTCTTTGGGCACAAAAAGTGACTTAAAAGAAACCATATAAGACAGTTAAAGGGAAACTCACTCTTGTGTTGGAAGCCGTTAGTTGAATTTGCAGTCATATATTGTATTTTACTTAAGTTAATCATAGTGTGGAGTGTAAAGTACCAAAAAATTGAAATACTCACAGAAAGTAGCTCAAAATCATACTTAAGTACAGCACTTGAGTAAATGTAATTGGTTACATTACACCAACATCTTATTCCCACTTGCACATATAGTCAGGGCAATTTCCTCAGCTCCAATTTAGCAAGCTTCTTAAATGGCGATGCCATGCAACATATGTTGAACTCTCTCTCGAATTCATTTCAATAAGAAGCGTCTAATCAGCATGAATAATTTAGTGTGGTGCACATGACTGCTCCCGAACCCCTTGGTTCAGCCTGGCATTTCACAACTCTGCACTCTGCGCCTGTCTCCACGCCCTGTCCCCTTGCCTCTCGCTGCTCTTGATTACTGGAAACCTGAGAATGACGTACATCCAGATCAATATACCCACCAATCCACCCACGCTGCAGGAGGGCGGAAAGACACAGGGGCAGTTAATGGGTGTGGGATTCATTCAGTTTTTACACGAGCTTCATTTTATTATGTGACAAAGTATGTTTTTTGCTCTCTTTCTGCCACTTTTGACCTTCACTCTGTGTCTCTTTGTGCTGTGTGGTCAACACCACATCAGTCGGCCCGCTGACCACATGCTGGCAGCAGGTTTATCTCAGTTCAACACAGACCTTCTTGCCTCTAGTGCTTCCAGTGCGCGTGTGTATGCTCATGACTGTGTGTGTGTGTGTGTGTATGTGTGTGTGTGTGTGTGTGCGTGTGCACGCAGAGTCTTCTTTCTTGTTGTTAACATTGCTGAAGCCTCTGGTTCTATTTGATCAGCACAGGTATGTTTTCATGACTTGAGGGAGATGTTGTATACCAAACTAAACACAATTCCAAATGTCTTTCGCGCTTCTCCAAGCCTTCCCACTGCTTCCTGGAAAAAGAGGGTTGCTCACGGCAAAGACGGCCCGCCTCGACAAACAGATATCTCTATAAAGTGCATTGGTGGATTTACTCACTATCGCTGACTACAGAAATTTCCAATAATCTGTCTCAAATGCCCAGCGCTATACTAGACATCACCCCTGCTCTCACTCCACAATCCTCACGTCCAAGAGCTGATGTCAGCTTCACCCCTCCCTCCCTCTGTCTGTGCTGATCCATCAGTGGACGATGATGTGATGGCCGATCAGTGCCATTTGTTACTTGATTTGAAAGCTCCTTACGCCTGTAGACAGTTTACAGGAAGAGTTGAATGTCCCTCCTCCCATCATGTGCCGTTACCTTTAAAGGAGAGAGAGAGGGAAAGAGAGCGCTCTCAGTCCTCCTCTTTCAGCTCTCTCCGTCCTCCCGCCCCCTCCATCTTCTGGCCTGGACCTTATACAACAGCAGCTTGTTATCTGCCTGTGTGAAACATCA